AAGCTATGTCGGTCAGCTTTCCACTGCCATAACAAAATACCTGAGATAAACAATTTAGCAGAGGTTTTAGTTCAGGGAGGCTTAGCCCTGTTGTTTGGGCCTGTGGGAGCACATGGGGAAAAAGGCCCATTGACCTTACTGCAGTCTGGAGAGAACAATAGGAAGAGAGGGTTATGATACCAATAGAACCCATGAGGGCACACCCCAATGATATAACTTCCTTGTTTCAGGCCCCACCTCATTAAAGTTCCACCTCCTCCCAGTAGAACCATGGACTAGGGGCCAAGCCTTCAATGTCCCCAATCCTTTAGGGGACATTCAAGATCATAACAGTAATACAAGCCTTTAGGTAATCCTATACCTCAAAAAGCAGTATCCTTTAAAAATGTTCTTAGAGCAAGAATCTGAATGCCAGGGCAACCATCTTCAAAGTAGAATAGTGCACATTTCAACCTTCCCTGTGTATGCACATCTCGGTCCAAGTTTGTCTCAGAATTTAAGACTCTAAATGGTTTGGTGGCAACAGGCCGTCAAGCATATCAAAATTTAAACTAAATACAATATACAGACTATAAATAGGTACCTAAGAAGTCAGATAGGAATTTTCTACCAAATGAGAAAAAAAACTTCGCATTTTCAGTAGTTTTTGAATTTTTGGATAAGAGGTTTATGAACCAACAATAATAGCTGTAGTAATAAAACAGCAGGAGAAATAGCTGCAGAAGATCAACTTCCGTTTCCTGCCTACCACCTGGCACTTAGCACCAAACTGCTGTGCTGTGTTCTCTAGAAAGAAGGAGGATTTAGAGTTCAATGAGCTTCCTTCAGTGTAGTTAGCAAGTTATTCTAGTCCCAGCCTCCCTATGCAGGGTTTGGACATCTTTTTTTATTTATTTTTTATTATTGTTGTGCTGGGTGGGGTACATTGTAGCATTTACAAAGGTTCTTACAATGTATTAGTTATATTATACTTGAATTCACTCCCTGCACTGCTCTCTTTCATGTCCCCTACCCTGATTCCTGTAACAGTTTCAATAGGTATCATTTTTGCATTAATGGTGCATTTTAATTCAGGTCCTGCAAACACATTACCTGTACTAGACTAGGACTGAGAGGGAGAGGTAACGGGGGGAGGAGGTGTGCTCAGAACCCCAGAACAGACTGAGTAAGCCCCAAGGGAGGTGCTAGATAGTCATGGTGTACAGGGAGAAAATAGTGGAACTTCCGTTTGGACTCGATGTGTCCTCTTATTTTCTATTTTTGTCTATGTTTAATAATACATGCATCTTCTGCACCACAGAATGTGTACATAATTTATAAGTACACATGTAAACTTACATTGAGTGTACCTGCTAAAAAAGGTGTATGATCAAAAGAATATGCAGAGAGCATTTTCGGAATACCTGAACAATCAAATTTTTTAGTCTGCTGAAAAAACGAAAAGTAAACAATAAAACAGCAATGCTAAAGAAAAGAATTTGTGTTTCCTTTAGGCAATGGCTATTTTTGTAATTGTGTCTCTTCTTTCACAAAGAAGGATGAGGTGAGGAATAAAATGCAAACCAGACAGGACAAGCTTAAATAGGCAAAATATTTGTTTTAAAAATGCAAGTATAATTTAAATAAGGATTTCAGTGAAGACTGCCCTCCTTTCACCTGGGGAAATTCATTTAGTATTAATTTCAATGGAGAGCTCATTTGTCTCAAGTTTACTCTAAGAGCTCATTTGTCTCAAGTTTACTCTAAGATTTGCAAACTGCCCTGCACTGCTTCCTACTCCTGCCTCTGGTCCATACATGTAATTTGCATTTTCAAAAGTCAATTCAGTTTTTCCATATAAACTGTGAAGTCAGACAAGGTATCCAACAACTGATGAGTGGATAAAGAAATATTATATATATATATATATATATATATATGCATACAAATTATATATATATAACATATATATACAAATACATACATGTATACATTTATATAGATATATACATACATTTATATATATTACATATATTTGTATATATTCATGATATAAATGTGCATTGTGTATCAGTATATACCATGGAATATTATTCAGCCTTAAAGAAAAATGGAATGATTTCATCTGCAGTAAAACAGATGGAACTGAAGATCATCATGCTGAGTGAGATATGCCAAACTCAAAAAGTCAAATATCACAAAAATGGTGATGATGATGGTATTGGGACATAAATGTGAAAGGGGGATAGTCTGAAAGGGATCAATGGGAGGGGGGAGTGGGAAAAATCAGGATATCGAGGGAGGAAAAGGACTAAAATATGCTACAAGTATATGTTTGAGGACAGCATAATGAAACCCACCAAACACTGCATAAAAATGGGGAGGGAGGAGGGGGGAACAGAACATAATGGAAGAGGTGAACTTGTTCAAAGTACACTGTACACATGCATGAAATTACCACAGTGAAACCCTCATGTATTATTAATGTATACTAATTCAAAATATAATAAAAATATTTTAAAAGAAAAAATGCATAAACAACAACAACAAAAAAAGCCCATGCAGTTGCCTTTCTGTAGACCCATGATAGAGTAGTGGTGGAGAAAAAAGATGCATATCTCTTTTGAGAGGTCATTCACTCATTGTTAAAGCAGACATTCACTCACAGCATTAAATAAGTCCATTCCCCAAATTATGAGGATATAGAAATCTGGTTAACAGAAACCTTCATTTCGATATGCCATCATGAAAAATGAAGAGGAATTCTGGGGAGATTTGAACACAAAGTAAAGTCAATATGAGGAAATAACAATAAATACTTTTTACACTGTGATGTTCCTCAAACAACTTTTCTTTGTAATGCTGCCAGGTTTTATAGCAAATATGCATCACTGTTACAGATTCGGAATGTATGAGGTGGGATTGACTTTCATCTGAATCACATACTTTGGAAGTTGTTTAAATAGACTTCCAAGCTCAGCTCTGAAGCTTAACTTGACATCTTATACATTCATCAATCCAGTGGTTGAAGCAGACCAGGCTCCTGACCTCACAAAGCCTGTGTCCCAGTGAGGATTTATAGTTTGGGAGGGGGGAAAATGGAGTCATTCCGGGAGAGTGTCTAGGTCCATTTTTTTGTTGTTTTAACAAAATACCCAAGAATGGGTAATTTATAAAGAATAGAAGTTTGTTGGGCTCATGGCTCTAGAGGCTGAACTCCAAGAGCATGGTGTCAGCACACGGTGAGGGCTCTCTTGCATCACAATATGGTGGATGGTACCAGGTGGTTAGATAGAGCAAGCATTCTAGCTCAGGTTTCTCTTTTCATAAAGCCACTTGTGACATTGTGGAGGCCCTCGTCTCAGGACATCACTGAATCTTAATCATCTCCAAATATTATCAACATATGAATTTCAGAGTTAAACTTCCAACACATGAAATGCAATGATAAATGCAAATTGGGGCAAGGAGGTAACACATGAACAGAGACTAAAGTGAAAAAAGGAATAGAGACACAAGTTCATGCAAAGCCAGAAGCATGCTTTCTGCATGCTTTCTGCTTCTAATATCAGAGAGATCAGTAGAGGTTGACCAGCCTGATCTAGGTGTGGTAGGAAGAGACAAACAACATCAGAGAAGAGGCCAGGGCCTACAGAGACTTCTGTTTTAAGTGAGCTGAGAAGACAGATGGAAGACTTGGAAGGGAAACTGAGGTTTGTGAGAGGACTGGTCTTACTGGTCTTATATTTTAAGGCACTGTAATGGTTGTGGTGAGAACACAGTCACACAGGATTTGAGTAAGTGGAGGAAGACTAGCTGAGAGGCAAGTGTCTTTAACTACTTGGAAGGCTGAGATCTGGAGGATCATAGGCCACTCAGGCAAAAAGTTCCTGAGATCCCCCATCTCCAAAATAACCAGAACAAAATGGACTGGGGGTGTTGCTCAAGAGGTACAGGCTATGCTTTGTAAGCACAAAGTCCTGAGTTCAAAACCCCAATCCCACCATTAAAAACAGAGCAAAACATGGTTTCTGAATTGTGATTTGCTTCTTCCATGATCACTTTCTGGTTATTCAGAATTCAGCCCTGTTGGAAATGTGAAACCAAAGACCACATTGCACATTTTCCACTTCCTCTTGTGTCTATCTAGGAAATAAGAACATGGGAACTTTTCAAAAAGTTTCTTTACCTTTGAGACTCATGCAAGCAGAAGAGATACCACAAGGTGTGCCTTGCTGACATTCACTAGTGACTCTATAATGCCCCTCAAGCTAAGCATATATATCTATGCAAAGATTTATTAGGACTTTCGTTTCTGTCTGAAAGGAGGGTCACATTGTGTAGGGGGACAGCTTAAGGTCAAAGTTAAGCATATCACCGGTGAAAGTTGTTTGTTCAACAGGAAGGGATGAGCAGTGAAAGTAAGGATACATTTTTTCCAACCATATACGTCAAGAGCACTGTTTTTTGAGTACTAAAATGTGCTGAGAACAAGATAAAAGTGTCCATGAGACACTTCAGAAAATAAGTCAGATGACTGTCAGGCTGATTTACTAACAGAAAGAGACAATTAAAACTTCAAGATTATCAGTAAACATTTCCCCAAGATCATTTCATAGTTGCCTGCCAAACAATGTGCTATCCAATTCCTCTTCCTTCCTCTTGCATTTAAGCAAACAAACAAACAAAAAATCACAGGAACAATCAGCTGTCAAGACAGCACCTAGTACAGAGCTAATGTTGGCTGTCCTTGGTCCATCCTTTAACTCATCCAGCATAAGTCCGATTCTGCCTCTGCACCTTCTTACCAAACCTTTCAGCTTCTCATGCCATCCAATAACCCTTTGATAGACTAAGGGAAGATACTGGAGATTTTCATCTAAAGGGGATTTATCACTATTACGAGAAGGTAAATACAAATAAAATTATTAAAGTATTTATTACATCAGATAGTGATAAATTATTATACCATAAAACTGGTAAAAAAATTAACAGGTAACTACATAGCTATCTATACTTACATGAGTGCTCACATCAAAGACTTCAATGGTACACAAGAAAGGCTTCTTTCTTGATTTCATACTATTCCTTCTGATCCTTTTTCTAAACTAAGGAATCCAGAGCATCCGCCTGATCAAATCTGAAACTTAGAGAACAATCCTAAATCTGTATTTGAAATTATTTTTGCCCTAATTAGGCTAATCTCAGAAAGAAGATTACAGAACAGTTATAAGATCAAAATGTTAACTATTTTTTAAGTTACTAAATGATTTTACCTACGGAACTTTACTTTAAAAAGAGGATGTCTGATCTCCCAATAGGAGACTTCTAAATAATACTGACATTATAAATCCCAATTTAGCTAAACCCTGTGCCACCTGTGACTTTTCACAAGCATAAATCAACTTTTATAATAGTGCCAGATGAAATACATGTGGGAACATCAAGCTTTAGAATAATAATACAGTGGTACTGCTTAAATGGTTAGGTAAATGATAGCTTGAAAATTCTCTTGAATGAAATCATCAGTTTCTCAATAAATGGCCATCAATCATCTAAGACTGTCATCAATGACAACCTAATGGTTACTCTCATAGGGACAAGTATACAGTTCAAATTCTTTCATTCTTTCAACAAATGTATCTACAACTCACTACTACCAGAATATAAAATCTGTTGCTTTCTCCCTTTTCTTTTGGCAGTACTGGGGTTTGAATTCTACTTTTTATGCTTGCTAGGCAGGTGTTCTATCACATGAACCAACAGGCCTCTAGACCTTTTTGCTCTGATTATTTGGGAGATAGGGTCTCACTTTCTGCCCACGTCAGCTTAGACCACAATTCTCCTAAATTATATTTCCTGTGGTTGCCGGAATGACAGGTACACACCACCATGCCCTTTTTTTTCCCACTGAGATTGGGGTCTTATAACTGGGTCTTATAACTGGATCGACTGGAACCAAGATCCTCCTGATCTCAGTCTCACAATTAGCTAGGATTACAGATGTAAGCCATGGGTGCTTGGCTTAAATCTGTGCTTTCTTAACCTTTGTGTAGCTGAGTTGTGTTGATCTCAACTTCTCTCACATATGAAATAATTACTTCAAGAAAACATGATATATATTTGTGCAATTTCTAAATGAAGTATATAATTTAGGGATGATAAGTGGCCAGCCATTTTCGTGATCATATGCAAGCACTATAGTGAATATATTTTTTAACTATGAGTTTTATGAATCCTCATAAATATAACAGAGCTGGCTAAAATTACCTTGACTATACATAGGAAGAAATTTGGAATTAGAAATATTAAGTGGCTTGTCAGCAAGTAAGTGGCAGTGCCAGGTTTGGTCCAGTTTCCCTCTGACCACAATATCTGTTCTTACACACTTCCATTCCCAACTCTGTCTCTCCTCTAGACAAATCAGCAATGATTCTAAAAAAGAACTTTTAAAAACCTGAAGAGATATAGTGGTCTCCATTATAACTACTGGTGCATGAAAATGGGAAGTGTTTAGGAAATTACAAAGGCTGATTAAAAAGTGATGATATTTAAATACTCTGGAATAGGTAACAATAATAAACAGAAACAATTAGGAAGTAACTTAGAAAAACATCTAAATGGTATGAAGAAAAATTTTCTGTCACCAGTTGAATACTATTGAGGTAGTCAAAGCTTTCTAATATGTCAGCCACCCCTGTCCTATCTTGTTCATATACACTTGTGCAGCCTTAGTTTATACAGTTGGAAACTTGAGCCATTGAAGGTGAAAGTAAACAGTTTGCTCTACACCATCAAGAGCCATGTTAAAAACAGATGTTGGTTTCCATCCACCATTGAGCTGTAATAACACCATATGTTTTTAAGCTTGAAAGCATTCTTTTCAGTCCTTGGAGTTTAATGGCCACACTTGTATGAATACTACAATAAATTTCATTCTGTGACATGTAAAGAAAATCAATTATTGCATTACTTATATCTTCCAAGTTAAAAAAGAAAACTGAAGTGCAATGATAATTAAGGCATCATTTTTCTCTAGGTGATAGTTCAAGGAATAAAATACACACTATTCAATCCCCTAAGGCATTCAGAGTCCAGTAAGAAAGACAGATATCAAAGCAATCTCAGCAGGGATGAAATCCATGAGGTGTTAAGAAGAGGATTCCAAAGGAGCACATAGGAGATGTATCAATCCAACCTAAGGGTCTAGACAAAGGAAATTATAATTAGAATGAAGACAAATGTACTGCCTGAGAATGTGAATTATGCATAGTCAGTTATCTATATCCATGGATGCTGCATTCATGGATTCAACCATGAATCAAAAATATTTGAAAAAAGAATTGGATCTGTCATGAACACAGATAGACATTTTTGACATTTTTTTGTCCTCCTTTCCCAAATATCACCATACAAAAACTATTTATATAGCATTAGAATGTAGTAGTCAGCAATGGTAAGTAACCTAGAGATTACTTAAGTGTACGGGAGGACATGAGTAGTTTATATGCAAATACTATGGCATTTTATATAAGGAACTTGAGCATACTTGGATTTTGGTATCTATGAGTCTTGAAACCAATCCTCCACTGATACTGATGACTAATTTGTTGATTGTGTATTAGGGAGGTAAGGCTGAGGCAAAAGTAAGTGTTTACAATTTCTAGGTAGACAGGAGGGAATTCAATAGAACCACCAGTTAATGTAGGGAAATAAGAGCAAGAGCTATTGACAGGAGGTAAGTTTCAGGTTGAATGTGTTGCACTGGGAGGACTGATAAATTATTAAAATTTGTATAGTCTAACTGGATATTAAGGGTTAAATTTTAGGAATAAGGTCTGGATAGCTGAGGAAGAGTCCTAAACTACTGTGCAAAGTGAAAAGAAAACAGGATTAGGGACTGAACCACAGGGATCACTATCTTCTAATAAAAGAGCAGAATACAAAAAGAACTCGTAATGAAAATTGAAGGAGAATGTCCAGGGAGGCACAGGAGAGACATGGAGCAAGTGAAATAGGATCAAGGAAATTGTAAGAAGAAGCTTCAAGGAGAAGCAACCATTTCAAACACTGCAGAGAAGTCAGCTGAGGAAGGCGTGGGTGAGTCTATTGATTGATTCTGACTCTGGAGAGGGCAGCAAATACTTTGGAGACACAGAAGCCAGAATGCAGTGAGCTGAAAAGACAGGAAAAAAAGATGTGACAAGAAACAACCTTGCACAAAGCATCACTTTAAGAAAAGAATGAGGCTGTTGAAGATATAATAAACATCAACTAATTAAGATAGGTTAATTTTTTAAATGTCAAACTTATAAATAAAGAGATATAAAGTCAAAGGAGCTGAAAATTATGGATATTTAAGATTCATATTTTAATAGCAGACCCCCCCCCAAATCTCAGTTGCCCTTTTTCCTTTGCATTATAGTTTTGATGTCTTATTCTAATGGGATACAATCCTACGTAGGTCTGAAGAGACTTTGCACTTAAGCAATGGGTTAAAAACTTCAGAATTAAAAAAATATTTAAGCTATGGACACTTTAAAAACCACATTCAGAGACAAATCTCTAAATTAGAGGCATGAATGGAAAATTTGTGGTTTTTATTTTTCTTCTCTGTGACACCTGGTGCAATGATCAGTACTTTATAGAGGCCTAATTTATGCTTTTAAAACAGGATTGAAGGTCAACTAACCAATTAAAGAAGGAGTCATGGCTAGAATCCAGATCTATGGACTCTCTGGGTAATTTTCTTTCAATGACAATTCCAAAAATCATGTCTTACACATGCAATAAACTCTTCAAACAGAACTTACACTCAACAGCATTAATCAACAGAAAAATGCAAGTCAAAGTCACAATGGGACTATTTCATATGCATTAGGATAGCTAATATTAAAAAAAAAGAAAACAGAAAACAGAAAGCATTGGCAAGGATCTTTATATCCCCGCTTTAGTGGGGATCCAAACTGGTGCAACTGCTATGGAAAAATAGTGTAGCATAAATATAGAATTATCATATGATCCAGCAATTTCACTTCTGGGGATATACCCAAAATAACTAAAAGCAGAGAGTCAAAGAAATATGCATACACCCAATTTGCAGCAATAGTAGTTGCAAAAGGCAAAAGGTAGAAGCAATCCGATTGTCCACAGAGGAATGAATGGGTAAAATGTAATACATACATTCAATAGACCATTATTCAGCATTGAAAAGGATAGAAATTCTAACACATATTACAAGGACAAACTTTAAAGGCAAAAATAAAGTCAAAACATTTTGTTGCTGAGACAAGTGCAGGAGAGAAATAATTGAAAAGTAGAAAGGTTTATTTTGGTTCATGCTTCAGTCCATGGTCCCTTGGCTCTGTTGCTTCTCAGCCCACTCATGGTGAGGAATATGCGGTGGAGCAATGCAGCTCATGTCATCATGACCTAGAAGCAGAGAGAGACAAAGGAAGGCGCCAGGGAAAAGACAATGACCTTCAAAGGCTAGCTCCCAGTGACCTGCCTTTTAGTTAGGTCCCACCTTGTAAAGTTTCCACCACCTCCCAATAATGTCATCAATTAGGAATCCAGACCTAGGTATGGTACCACATACCTGTAATCCCAGCATTCAGAAGGCATAAGGAAAAAGAGTCATGAGTTTGAGGCCAGCCTGGGCTACTTAGTGAAACTGTCTCAAAAAAAAAAAAAACCTAATACATATTTATACATATATATATGACACATCTGTATATGGGTCTATATACACATACATACATTTATGTGTGTGTATCCATCAATGGATTAGAGTTCCCATGTGTATGTTTATACATATACATATGTATCTACAATTACATAAACTTACATGCATATACATGTTTATATGTGAAACTCATTGATTAGGTCAGAGCCCTCATGATCCAATCACTTCCCTATATACCACTAGCTGACAGCCAATCCTTTAACACCTGAGAATTTGGGGAGACACTTCAAATCCAAACCAAAATACAATGTACTATGTGAAATAAGCCAGCCACAAAAAAAAAAAAAAACCAGAGAGAGAACTTTGCTTAGAGAAGTCAAAGTCAAATAATTAGAGACAGCAGGCAGCAGGGTCATTCCCAGGGGCAAGGAAAGGAGGGAAAGGGGAATTGCTGCTTCATGGATTCCAAACCGAGTTCTACGAGTTGAAAGGAGTTTGGGAGATGGATGGTGGCGACAGTTGTTCCATAATGTCGGTGTGCTTAATACTCACTGAACTAAAAAATTAAAAATTTTGTTATGTATATTTTATACTTTCAATTCTTAAATAAATTATAAAATTGATTTTAAGCCAAAGTGGGATGAACACATAAATGTATAAAGTGACACCTTTTAAGAGGATATCTTTGTTAAAAATAATAAGACATCTGTTTCTATAGCTGGGTCCACTTCTCAGGTGACCATGGGTGCTATCCTTCCCACTGTGCCTAATCAGAATGTAGACTGATGTCACCTCCAATTCTGATTTTTCAAGAGATGCTCTTGGCCCAACTGTTTGTGTGAAATGACCACATACTGTCAATCAAACAAAAGCCATCCAAGGGCCACTATTTCCTAACCATCTTTCTTAGTCATGCTTCTTATGCCAGAGTATAAAGTCAGTGTAATGGTTCTCATTTGGATTAAGATATTTGCTTAAACTTGATGAAGAGGACATTTTCTGCAGCTTGCTCTTCTATAATTACTTAATGCTAATTCACATTTAATAACACAATGGAAACTGCTTTTGCCCCCAGAAGGGATCATTTTTATATGAAAATTGTGGGCTCTGCTGTTGATTTTGCTCTCAGTTCTATTATGCTGAATTTCATATATATCCATAAAAATCAAATGTATTGTTTCAAGTCACTTTTCCCTTAATGTTATGATTATTCTGAGTGAT